TGAGGTTGCTGTGAGCTAGGCTGACGCCACGGCACTCTAGCCTGGGCAACAGGGCGAGACTCTGTCTCAAAAATAAATAAATAAATAAATAAAGTGATGTAAACCCTATCTTCATACGCAAGAAATGAACAGTATACCTTTAGCTCAAAATCAATCATCATTCTTCAACAAAGAATGGGCCGAAAATGCCTGCCATTTCTTTACAGGATTTAATAGCCATTGGAGTTTGCAATGTCGTCAGTTCATTTTTCAGATCTTGTGTGTTTACTGGTGCTGTTGCCAGGACTATTATCCAGGATAAATCTGGAGGAAGACAACAGGTGTGTTGAAATAGAATTTTATCTCTAATATATAAATGCTATTTATGTCAATTCATACTTATATTTGTTGAAGGGGATTATATGGGTTTAATCTTGTTGCTGTTTTAGTAATAGGCTTGATGGAAAAGACTTCTTGGAAGAATTTGGATTTCATGCTTGCCTTAATTTTTGCTCAGATTTTATCTTAAAAGTTATATATCAATGTGAAACTTAAAAGTCATTTTCTACAGAAATATTATATGTCAGAGGTTTCCATATATTAGCGCACAAAAAAACCAATTTCCATGTAACATACCTAAAGGATAACAATATTTCAGTTAAACTTATCATCTATTAACATCGTTGTTTTTTTTTCCCTATGGGAAGATGCATTCTCATACTGAGTCTGGGAAAGCACTAATACAACTCTCTCCACCCTGGCAGCAAACTAAAAATTTTCCTGGCTTCCTCAAAGGGCATGGCAAAGGGCTTCCATGATAGGGAGTCAGGTCTTTGTCTACAAGAGCCTAGGGAATTTATGACTGCTCTACTTTTGTGAAAGAGAAAATTATCTAGGTCAGACTCTCTTCAAGTATTCTGAATTAGTAACCTAAATGTTGAGGTGAGAAGGGGGTGGGGGCAAGGGAGATGGTAGCAGAGAAGACTCTAAAGGCAAACTCCAGTTGCAGGCTTGAGATTTTGTAAGTCCAATGTCCATGAGTTTTGAACTGCTTATACAAAAGTCACAGCATAACAACATGGGAGGTGTCGCATCTCAGCTGTGCAGTGTGATGAAATGTCACAGAGCTGTCAGAATGGAAACTAGGGTAAGCCTAGGGAATGGGTCAGGATTCAGATGGCAGGGAAGCAGTGGCAGCGGTCAAAGACAAGCTCATGCTGCAGAAGCGTAGTAAGAAGGTACCAGCTCTGGCCAGGCACGGTGGCTCACGCCTGTAATCCTAGCACTCTGGGAGGCCGAGGCGGGCGGATTGTTTGAGCTCAGGAGTTCGAGACCAGCCTGAGCAAGAGCGAGACCCCGTCTCTACTAAAAATAGAAAGAAATTGATTGGACAACTAAAAATATATAGAAAAAATTAGCCGGGCATGGTGGCGCATGCCTGTAGTCCCAGCTACTCGGGAGGCTGAGGCAGAAGGAACGCTTGAGCCCAGGAGTTTGAGGTTGCTGTGAGCTAGGCTGACTCGACGGCACTCTAGCCCGGGCAACACAGTGAGACTCCGTCTGAAAAAAAAAAAAAAAAGAAGGTACCAGCTCTGATGTGTCAGAAGAACGGACACTGAATTTCAATGGGGAAAGATAAAGTATCACAGTCTGTGGGCGAATTTATGATGAAGCATAAAGTAAGCACTAGTGAAAGTCAAAGATCACGCAGGGGCTGGAGCACAGGTCTAGGGTAAGACTACGTCATATCCTTTTACGTGGACTGAGTTTTGTTGTCACAGAGCTTCTTCCAGACACACTGGCCTTTTCCGTTACTGCTTGACGGACAGAAGGAATTTGGGCTATGTTAAAAAGAAAGATGTTCCATACAAACATGCAAAAACTTTGGAGTCAAAATGAGAGGGTTTTATGATAAGAAGAAATGGATATGGCAATTCCAGAGATTAGTTCCACTAATGTTTTATGACACGCTTGCTTTGTTCAGTATATAAGCATAACATAAATTTGGGGAACAAGATGCACACAGCTGGAAAAACCTAAATCAAAGTGCAACGAAAACTGAGTACAGAATAAAGGCAATAAAAAAAAAGCTCCATAAATACTTCTAGCAGGAGAACGATGGAGGGAGTAGGACTTTCATGGAGTACTGAAAGGAGGTTAGGCTATGTATAGATGAAAGGAGAAAGAAGGGTTGCAGTTCAACTTCAGAGTTGCATTAAAGGCAGGACTGCATCCTGTGTGTGCGACGTGGACTGGAGGAAGAATAGCTTTGCCAACTGCACTCACTGATTCTGGGAATAGAAAGGCCAAGTTTTGGGAGGGCCTCAGCAGATGATTGGCTTTCTAACCTCTGAGCAAGCCCATTTTTACCATTTTAGCCTGTTGGACAAGGGCCTGCCTCCAAGGCAGCCTATGGCTCTCATTCTGTTTCCTGCTGCCACCTTGTTGACCTGGGCAGTACATTTCCTACTAGTGACACCTGTCATGAAGTGCAGTGGCCTTCCATGGGGAGGCATGTCCCTAGGGATGCTGGTAAGCCCTTCCCTGAGACCTCGATATGCCCAGAGCAAATCCCTGCTTAAGCAGAGAATGCTGCTGGCCCCTGACCCTACACACAGCAGCTGCCCAGACTCCACTCCTGATTTTCTGATCTGGACCAGAAAAGGCCTCTGAGACTCCTTCACTCTTCTTTTTCTCATAGCAGGGGGGTGTTCTCTCCACCCCTTCCTTCTCTCTGAGGGCTTTGTATTCACTCTGCCTGAGAATGCCCCACTTCTTCAAATTTCTTCAGGACTACAGGAATTGAAAGTAGGGGGCTGGCTCTGAACCTCTCAAAAATGACGTGTCACTTTATTTTTATTTTTTATCTGGCATAGGTACAAAATGCGTATATGTGTCTGGATTTCACTTTAATTTTTCCCTGGCTAGAACTCATTTCCCTACACTGGTCTCAGCAAAACCTACTGGCCCTTCTAGCCACAGCCTTGGCCTGAGGCGTAGGCAGGCCTGGACCATGGCAGAGGGGGTGTGACAAGCCCTAGGCCTGCGGCCAGCTGGATTGCCTCCCCCTCCATCCTCCTGTTCATCCATTTCTGACCCCCCTGCTCCCCTGTTCTCCATGACTGGGTTCCTTCCTTGGACTGGCCTTTTGCCCAGGACCCCAGAATTGCTTTAAAAATGGGTTATTATAAAAGAGAGAAATTTGTTATGTTCTTTTGAGAGAGGAAGCAAATGGGGCAGTGGCGAGTACCTAGATTTTGGAGTCAGATGGTCAGGGGCTTTAAAACCTGACTCCATGCCTCCTAGATGTGCATGATCTTGGGCAAATTACTTTTGCTCTCTGAGGCTTCAGTTCTTGTCTGTAAAATGGGGATAAACCAACCTTTCCACTGTGAGGATTAAATTAGACACAAATAGTGTCCACACAGTGCCTGTTACTTACGAGATATTCGAAAATCACAGCTTCTACCCTAGCTCCCTGGTTCCGGGGGCGGGGGGTGGCATTCAACAATCTGCTGTCCTACTTCATGGAACCCACTGCATATGGAGCAAGGGGTGTCCGCATGTCAACAGTGGCCATGACTGTGGGGACTCCCACTGTTTTTGAATCCCTGGAGAGAAGGCAGGCAGTCTTTGTTCGAGAAAGCCCGGAAAAGTGATAGAAAATCAGAGAAGAAAGGAAAACATGCATGAGATACAGTTCTGCAGTGCTTGCTGTGTTTAGACCCTGTTCAGGCGCTGAGCCTGAGCTTCTGAGAGCTACCAAGCATCTTCCCGAGGCACAATGCCACTGAGGGTGGTCCTCGGATCCCAAAGCCCACTCCCATGAATGTGCAGCCGAGAGGAACATGCAACCCTTGGCAGGCCTCCGACCCTCTCTGAGCAGCTAATTTTTATGGGATTTAGTATCTAGTTTGTACTCATTTTAATCTACATTTTTGATAACTCATTTTGCTGCCTGCCTGTGTTTATTTTCTTAAAAATAATCGGAAGAATGTTGGAGAAAAGAAATAGTAGGAAAGAAAAGGCCTGATTTATTTTCCTGCATTCATCAAAGCAGTTTTTTTACGTAGTGCCAGCAAAGACCAACTAGAAGCTGGAGCCGTAAATTAGATCCAGCAACGGGCTGGTACGTAAACCGGCTGGAGGGGCTCATGCACTCACTTACCTGTTTCAGTTCCACAGTGTATGACACGTTTGCCGTCGGAGCTTCCTAAGTTTCAGCCGCTGCATTTCCTGAATCCTCCTGCCTGCACTACTCTCGTGCACCTCAGCTCGTGCACGCCAGGCCACTCACGCTGGCTGGGAATCGGCCGGGATGGGGAAGGAAGGAAGTAGGACATTGGTTGCACGGCTGTTATTTTCAGCAATACGTTCATGTGGCAAATAGAAATGAGTAGTGACAGAGAACCTAGTAGGAAGGTATTTTTCTCCCACATAAAAAATAAAGAGAAAAATTAGAGAATCATCACTGAGTGGTCCTTTAATGGATTAGGTTCGAGGGACTCTCTCAGTTCTTCCTAGTATATGCCATTATTTTGATTTGTGCTTACAGTTTTACCCCATCCCCCACTCCCCATCAGAGTGGAGAATGATACTGCTTGATATAATTTTACTACTAGCTTAAAAAATAGAAATTTACCACTAGAGGATACAGAGAGCCCTGGGCTCACAGCGGGAACTGTGTTTGTTAGCTTTCCACCTTTATTTGCCAAGTGAGAATCACTGCTTACCAAGGGACACTGAGCCCAGAGTGGTGAACCCAGCTGGGATAGGACCCAGAGCTGCTTGCTGTATACAGCCTTGAATCATGTTTGTAGCTTTTTTGTTTTGTTTTGTTTTACACTGAAGCAGAGAGAAACTGAAGCAGGAAAACAGGATATGATTATCACTGTATTTTTTAAGATGAAGCACCACTGAAGCAGTTAGATGGGAAGTTATCCAATCTCCAAATGGGAGGGCGAGGGGTGGGATATTTATACCCGAAGCAGGGTGGTTGGGATTTTAGGGGAGTCGGTGAGGAGTCTACTAGGGCTTTTCTAAGTTGTGCAAGGAGAGGTTAAGATTAGGAGGGGATGCAAATGAGATTTTAGGAGACTTTTAGATTCACAGCACAGAACTGTGGCAATAAGGATTCAGCTACCCAGGACAATGTGGAGCTTTTCAGAGAGCATTCATGCATTCATTCAACAAATATTTATTGAGTAACTAGTATATGTTTAGCACTCGATAAGACCCGAAGATGTTAGTTCAACAAAAATGCACCTATGCTGCACCCACCTCCTTTTAAGAAAAAAATGACATGCTTCTCATCAAGCAGAAGGCCTCGGCTGCAGACAGGGACCAATATGTTCCTGATGGTTTCTCTCCAACCGGCTCTGTCTCCTCAGTTTGCATCTCTGGTAGGCGCAGGTGTGATGCTGCTCCTGATTCTGAAGGTGGGATTCTTCTTCTACAAGCTGCCAAATGTAAGTAGAACTGATCAAATAACTAAGTCAAGAGAGGCGGAACCTCAGGTTGCACCTTGCGGGGGCATCTCTAAGGAGAATTGCATTCGGCTTCTCCCCGGGGGTTGTTCCAGCCTATCATTGGTCCCTTTCATTTAAAATAATAGCATCTACATTACAGGGTTGAGAGTTAAGCGACACAGAGATATATGTATATTTATACATAAGATATATATTAATATATGTGACTTTGAAATTTAAAAAAAAGCAAGTTTCGATCAAAAGCCCTATATTTTAAACTATAAGGTCGTGTGGACTGCCAGCAGGCATCTGTGAGTTCTTCTGTGTACCCAATATTTTCTTAATTAATGCTGCTTCACAGATGTCGCATTAATTATTTTTGAAATGTGTAGATGCTATTGTAACTAATATAATGCTTTTATTTAAAAATATTGAGTTCATTGTATATGATTTTTGTCCTCATAAATAAAAAAATAAAAATCCAATTTGGGTGCACAAAAAATATATATTAAAAACATATATATATAAAAGGATATAACAGTGTCAGAGTCACAGTAAGTACTCAAGAAACATTAGTTATTATTATTATCATTCTCATTAATCTTCTTTTATTGCTTAAGCTCTAAAATAAGCTCTATAAGTAAGGCTTCAGTGAAAAATGACCAAAATAGATTTCAGATGCCAGACCCCGGTTCCAACACAGGCTTGGAAACTCACTGTGCATTCATACCATCTGTTTTCCCACACTGCTTCCAGAAGGCGTGTTCTGCATTTGCGTGAACTCAATCCTCCCATGACTGCCGCACTGCCTCTTGGTTAGTTCACAACACTAGAATGTAGGTCTGAAAGTTGAGTTTTAACTCAGTATTCAGCTAGGATACCTGTATATAGGAATGTGACATTTCTTCCCTTTGTGTGAAACTGATCACCCTGCACTTAGACATGCCAGGTAAGTTAATTACTGGCTGTAATCAATTTGTTCTAAGTTATAGTATAGATCGATACTCAGAGACCATCGTTTCCTTCTAAAGTTTTCTTCCTGTTCCTTTAGCTATTTTTATGTAGTACTTAGGGAGGTGGGAAAAGGTTTCTTTGCTGGTATAGCAGCTTGGTTACACACTGAGGTGGCTATCCTTGAAGCTGGCGTGGTTGTAAATGTTGTCCCTGTCCTTCTAAACACTTCCCTTCCACCTGGTTGACATCGGGTTTCGCAGAGCAGGACCACCACAAGGTTGCTGCTGCCTTCTGCTCTTGTGAGTTAGGGACCCTGGAGTGCAGGCATGGAGTCTAGCAGGGAGCGTGCGATTGGCCAGCTGTGTTGGGCATACAAGCCATCCTCAGATTCCTGGCAGAAATCATCTCCAGAACTTGGCTTATGCAGCACCTTGGGTGCTATAGCTCTATGAATCTATTTTAGGAGGGCCACTTACTAATTTACTTTGAACACTGATATTTTTTCTTAACAGCTAAAAGAAGCAGAATTTTAAAAATTCCAAACAAATAAACAAAAACTGTCAGAATTCACCAAAGGGTAATGATAAAAGTGGTAGCACTCCTTTATTATAAAGGTATTGGGGACAGAATAGCCCTTGCTTTTGGCTAGCCATTTCATGTCATATTAATTTTACAAATGTTCGTTACTATGTGTGTCTGAGTGAGCAGATGTGACTATAGTCCGATCAATGGAATATCTGAGTTACTGTAGCAATAAGGTTCTATGAGTATTAAACTATGAATTACTTCTTCCTTCTTTAAAA